CAGTATGTATGTTGTGAGTTTATTTTTCTGACTTATTAAAATCTGTGGAGGAAAAAGAGTAAATTTAAAGCTTCCCTACACTACCTGTCTGTAGTAAAAGAGCAACTGAAATAGTGAGAAGCAACTACTAAGCAATTCCTAAATGGTTGCTTTTGGATGAATTTGCTACTGGCAGTACTATTATCTAACTCAGTAACAGTCTTGAGGACAAAAAGAGATAACATTGGTGACTTTCACCTAGTCCTTGTTCTGAAGTGCATGTTCAAATATGAATTCTTTTCTCCCCAGCACAGAGCTGACGTTGAAGATCAATTGTCAGAAGAGGAGGTACGGGGGGAGGCTCTCTCCTGCTATAATAATCTAAGAGTTTAATTTAAATCTATGACACTTTTCCTATGACTGCCAACATCTTAGATTTGTTGGGGCTTAGGAAATGTCATTCTTCAAAGATTTTCCATTAAGAGTAATTACAAGTAAAAGGAGAAACCCTCTCTGGAATTCTTTTTATATACATTAGGACCAGGCTGCAAAAGGGAATGATTGCCTCACTTCCACCCTGAAATCCCATTATCTATGTGAAAAAGAGGACTGGGGAATACAACTACATTTGAATGGACTTGCCTTACAAGATTCTGTCCTTTGGGCTCATTCAAAATTCTAAGAGACCATCTTGGAGACCACCTTCTCAAGTAATAATAATTTATAAGCCCTCCAAAATATCTACCTGTCCCACCCCCCCCAATAGAAAAAGGGATATGTAAGTTTGTGCTTCACGTTAAACAGGTGGGTAACCATACTCTGTGATTGTTTCCTATGCTGTGGTTTTCCTAATTTACATCATAATCAATCCATATGCCTTTTCTCCTATTTAATTTTTGTTTCATCCCAGTGTCCTCAAAAGGGCTGAGGGGAAATTTCACATTGCTCTACACAGCTCATGGGGGAACTGTCTTCACCCCTTGTGCTGAGGCTTTTGTTGGTGCCTGTGTTCTCTGTTGCTGTGCTAGGAGTTCAAAGGAGATAATCTGTGTCTGATACCCCTTAGATTTCTTCACAGTGAGAGCACACTGCCTGCACATGGTAGAATCTCAGTAAGGGTCATATCAATTGATGAATTTGGAAACCCCACCATTACACAATCTGTCTGTGTCCTCAAATGCTGGCTCATTCCCATAACTGAAAATGGACTTTCAGTTTCTTTTACAATTTTCAACTCACTTCTCAGAAAGGCTTATGTTTAACATGTCTTATGACTTGTTTCCTTGTAAGCAGTTTTCACTAGGTGTACCTGTCTTTTGCTTTCTTTCTTTCTTTCTTTCTTTCTTTCTTTCTTTCTTTCTTTCTTTCTTTCTTTCTTTCTTTCTTTCTTTCTTTCTTTCTTTCTTACTTTCTTTCTTTCCTTCTCTCTCTCTCTTTCTCTCTCTCTTTCTCCCCCTCTCCCTCTCCCTCTTCTTCTCCCTCCCTTCCTTCCTCTATCTCTTTCTCTCCATGTCAGTTTCCTAATGTAAATCTACTTGAAAAATTCTGACCTTTTTATGATGCTTTGAAGAAAAGGGGATTCACCTAGACCTCACCAGGGAACATCAGGAGAATCTTATGAACCAAGACTACTGAGATAGGACTAAGAAGAGGTAAGAGAGTAAGCAGAGGGACAAGGGAACCTGAGAGCATTTGCTCAAATATTTATCTAAGGTGCCTCACTTCTCTTACCCTATTTCCAGCCCTTGCCTGGCTCTGATTAAAAGCTTTGTGGATTGGGCCAGTGTATTCACATCCATTGGTTAGAGAGGGAAGGGCAGCTAACTTTGCTGGTTCTTTCTTGCCTGGAATTTACCACTAGCCTTTTCCTGAAAGCAGGCTCAAAGGTTGTTAAGAGGTTATTTTATAAGGGCCTCCTGTTAATCACTTGAAATCTGTAAGCAATACTTGACAACAAAGAGATCAAGGGAGAAGAGGAAGAAAAATCACAGAACTCAGGGACAGAGAAGGAAGTTCCTGCTTTCTGTTGGCTTCTTTCTTTCCCCACCTCTGAGGGCAGTGCAAGCTGCAGTCAGAAGGCTCTGCTTGCCAGAGGAAGTATAGAGGAAGAATATCCCCCATGTTCTATATGTTTGGAATATTTTCTATTTCAGCTACCCAATCATATGCCCAACTTGCTCACTTTAGGAAGCATGAATTTCTTAGTGAATTTTCAAGTGGTGCCATACTAGCAGATGGGTCCCCGCTCACACACTGTGCAAGGCTGAGTGAAAGGTGTTTGTTTCATAATATTTGAG